CAGGCAGCGGTAATGATGATGTATGTCACGGTCAAGGTTACCATCAGATATTACCGGCTGCAAATGTTTCATGCGTCTCAACTCGTGTGGCTGCTGCTGAGAGGTTAGCGGCAACGCGAGGGAGGGTGAGGCGAAGCGCTTGGCGATGGGGTTTCGTGGAAAAGCGTTGCATTTCGACGCGTTCCTCTCCATTGCAAATTGGTTTTCTGGTTGCGTATGGCATTTTTCTTGAGATCCTGGTGCTCAGACTTCGGCATCTGAAAGGAACCTGTCAGAAAACTGATTATAAATCTAAATGGTAGCCCTTGATATGGAGAGAAATTTGCAGGTGTATCTCAATAGTAAAATTACGATCTCATCTATGAATGAGCGCTCCTCTGTTTCAGTCTTCTGCTTTCAGCACAAGTAAGGAAACCCTGCGGGTGTCTGCCTGATGATTTGCACCGAGAAATTAATCATGCCCTGAAATTGCAGCTAAGCAGTGTGCAGGGAATTCCTAACCTATAGCTCCTCATTTCAAATGAGAATTTAATACTAAGCCTGAAATGCCCATGTTTAATGGCCTTTTTTTCTGAGTTCAAGCGTGGAGGGATCAGAGTAGAAAGCTGAAAAGTCTCGTGCATTAAAAGTATCAGAAATCAGAGCAGGAACCAGTCTGTGGCTGTAAGGCAGCAGCTATTCAGCAAGACAGTGAACCAAGGACCACAGAAATTCCTCCAGAAGACATCAACACTCGATCTTGCATGGGTCTGGTGCACTGAGGGGCTGCTAATATTTCTCTTTAGGCCACACCACTCATTGATTATGACTCTGTTGTATAAAAAAGGAATGAAAGCAAAGCCAAAAGATTAGTTCCTTGTTTTATATGATTACAACATTAGGCCCAGTGGTCAGGGAATGATGGCACATCGTCATATCTGCCCATTAGTTTCAAGAAAGATGAGTATAAGAACTAAAGGGAACTGAAAATCCCTTAAATCCCATGTGCATCCACAGAAAACCTGATTAAATCTTGCCTCTCTTTTTATACAAGGAACAGATCCCACATGTACAGAAACCTCCTTCTCCTTAGACAGCTAACTAGCAAAAGAACAATCAGTACAAATCAGTACAGCATGAATGGAAAGGGAGAATAGCAATTCTAATAAAATATCTAATTATATGACCTTTGCAGTGCTTATTAGAAAACAGTTCAATGTATTACTTCTAATTAAATATTGTCCTTAATGGAATAAACCTGCAGCTTTCATGGAGTTATGCAGCTGATGAAACTATTTCTGCCTCTTTCTTCTCTGAGTGGCAAGGTTGAAAATACATATTTTGATATTATTAACATAGGGAAATTCAGTTCACTCAGTTATGGAGTGACTTCAGAAAGTGTAGCTTCTAAATATAAGCAGATAAGGTATTTGCAGTTCTCAAGTGTACACAAAACAGAAAAAAAAAAATAATCTAATACATTAGAGTTGGTTCACAGAGATACTTAAGCTTCTTTTCTAGCCCCTGAGTCTTAGTGTGTCACCCATCAATCAAGGCAGTTATCTTTTTCCTGCATAGGAAGATTCATCGTGTCTCTGATGTGTCAGTTCTCAATTGCAAAGGGCGTCCCATCATAGGAAGGTCAGGACTATAGATGGAAGATTTTGTGTGATCCATCTTCATATATAATACCATGTCTTGATATAAATTCATAAATATTTGTGTAAGATTTTACACATTGAAAGAAATATGTGTAAATCCTCAAGTACATTTCATTTGTTCATGTAAAAATACCAGAACAACCCAAGCCAATAGTCTGGTTTGGAACACAAAATTTTATTTTCTTCCAGAAAACATCTTTAATTTCTGATAATTTATTAAATAACTAGTGAAAGCATGATAAAACAAAAAAGAACAAGACATTAGAATATTTTTATTACAATATAATTCATCATAGAGATCTGCTTTAATACCATTTAATATCAGATCAGATCTCTGAATGTCGTATCTTAACACACAGTTACTTTGATAATACTACTTTTTCTGCAGGTGTGCAAACTCATTGAACCATTGTCAAAGCTCGTCTACAATAAAATTTGTGTGTGACCATTATTTTATTAAAATATTGCTAAATACAGCCTTGTACACACCATAGAGATAAGCCAGTCATTAAATACTCCATAACTTTGTAGTGGTACCAGAGCTCTTACCTATGGTTGTATAGTGATATTTAAACGTATTCTTCTAAGACACATTTGTAATGCCACTACTGTACATACTCTAGCAGAAACGTTTGACAAATAGCCCCTGCAGTGAAATGGCTAGCATTTAGCAACATGCCACCATACTCTGTTTAATCCCTCCTCTTTTCATAGAATTTCAGCTCCAGGAGGAGAGCAGATTAATTTTAAGATGAAAGTTAATTTGCAGTGCCTTTTTACTAATATCATATGGTGACTTTGTCATCAGCCTCTGACCAACACATTTTCAGGCCCTTCTGGTTTGCTTGGGAGAATTTAGAGACAAAGATGTCATATCATTAGAAAAAAATCTATGCAGAGAGCTTGTTTTTTTCTAAACATATACCAATCAGGAATGTTCAGACAATGTGCATGCAGTCACCTATATGGCCTGTGTGTTCAACACTTATGTCCAGTTTCTAAGGTGTGATGCAACCTCAGAACAAACTGTTCTACAATGATGTTGAGCGACTCTGCTGCTCTCTGAATTTCTTCTACATAGAATAACAGCTTTTAGCTAGATAAATGATAACAGCAACCCAGTGTGCCTTCCATTTTTTCTATAGACTGAACATTTTTTGTATAACAAGAAAAGGCACGTGGCAGAAATGTTTACCACAACACTGGCCAGCCATGGGACTTGTTCAGTAAAAATAAATATTTATTTAGTATGTAACACTCAGCATTGCTTGTGTGCCTAAGTTTTGGCTATGCACTTTCCATTCATACAAAGTCACAACTTGATCTTTTAAATAAGGAAAGCATATTTTTAAAAGGTAACTCTTAGCTAACAGAATTAAGGACTTCATTTATTCTCTTGCGCCTACAAAAATGTTCGTGTTCCCCTAAGATCGTCTCTCTGAGACTCCCAACTGAATGCAGAGACTGAAGACTTTAAATGAAATTTCTAATCAAAAAGTTGCTATAAACATAGCACATTTGCGAGTTTCATTACAGAAGATCCCTTCAGGATTATATCAAATATATATAAAGTTCTTTGGGTTTATATATGTTAGATATTATATATATTATGATAACTTACAGATAGATATTATGTAAATATTAGATATTATAAGTATATATTAGTTACATATATATAATATGTGTTAGCTCCATGTGAAAGTTGAGAAGAACCAGTAGTTTTAAACTATAATTTTTGCCTTGACTTTCTTGCTACAGGTGAGATGTTGCCATACAATGTCACACAAATGTGAAATTTAAAACTGAGATATGAACTATTTATTTCTGGAAGAGAGAATCTTAAAATGGGACTGAAATACAACAAAGAGATGCCACAATCTTCAACTGCATTATCTAGCTTCTCTAGTTCATTCAGCTAGATATCAAAGCAGGCCCTCCTGTTCTAATTGGAAAACCAAATTATATCAAATTGCATATTTTTAGTGATGCATGATAATTTGCATTAGCAGAGAAAACTCTGACATTTCTGAAAACAATCCACAGAAATAAAAATATATGGCATAGATAGAAGATGGCATTATTAATGCTTTCATTTAGTTAGTTCTGAGTTTAGCATTTCAGAATACAAAATCAGGTTTGAAAAGCAATGCTGTAGAAGACTGTCTCTTTAATGACATACACGGAAGGAAATCTATAACTCTTTTGTTCATACATTTCTTTGCCTCATTTTTTTGTTGCTTCATCTTTTGATTCTGCTTGAAAGAGCTTGGGTTTTTTTGACAAATCAACTGCTGTGTAAATAGGCCTCTGTATGTTGTCTCAAGTTGCACACTCAGAAAATAGGAATATAAAAAGCACCACTTGCTTTGGAAATCTTATCCGTTATACAGAGTTGTAATCATTCTGCTAGGGAGCAAAACCAGCTAGGTTCACTTTTTTAAACATTAATTTTTCTTCTGAAATAAATAAATCTGTAATGTCACCAATAGACTATTTATAGCTTTAGAGAATTAAAACAGATGTATATGATCACCTTTATATGCTCATTCCACCTCAGCACACAGCCTCTCAGAACACTAGTGACATTTGAATTAAGTCTTAGTTTCCCTCATTGGGTAATGAAAAAGATCTCTGGCTGTTGATGAATCAGTCATATATTTTTCTTTCAGCTTTTGTGTGTTTTTTCACTCTTCCACCAGAGTTCACTATTTTCAACAATAATTAAACTAATGTATCAGTGAGATTTGTTGTCAGACATTTTTAAGAGAATGCAGCTGCTCTGTAGGACTTCTTTTATTTGAAATGGGGAAGACTGGAATTCTTCATCCAAAGAACACTTACAATCTGATCCCAACCTCCGAAAATAATATCTAAGCTGACCGTAGAGAAAATCCAAAGTAGCCAGTGGCCACTGAAATATTGTCGAGGAGTCAGGAAGATGTACATCGATCCAAGGAGTTCACAACCTTGATGTGGATTACAGACACCTCAATTCTGTCACAGCTCTGTGCTGCTGTAGGTTTCAGCTCCATCACTTATGGCAAAATTTCATACTCCTTTAGCTTTCACAGGTCTGTGAAGACTTCTGTTCTTGCCTCATTAGAAATAGTTCTGAATAGCAATCTTTGTCTCCTTTGAAAGCACCAGGAAACATATAGCAAATCCAGATACAGTCATTGTGCATCAATACAGCATTACATTGTTCTCTTCCAGAATCTAAAGCTTTTATAAAAAAAAAAAAAAAAAAAAAGAAAAAAAATTAGCTGTTACAACTGTAGAGATAGCCTCACAAACCATGGTGATAGATGCAATGGCAGATCTCTTGCTACTTTTAAACAATTGCATTATAAAGTATGACCTATCCCATTCATCTTTGTGGCTGCTAAATTGTATGTCCCTGAAAACACTTGTGACATGTCACTTCTTTCAGTCCACATCAAAGCAGGTAGGAAAGGAGATGGAACATTACCTGTTGAACACTTGCACAATCCACTGTGAATGAAGGCTCATTTGGGCTGGATAAGGGCATCAG